GAATATTTACTAGGCAGGTAAGTGCTCAAGGGGGATTATTTTTCAAGCCTGGGAGCTAAATCATTATAGAAATCTAAACATGGACAACTTGCATGGTATTTTAAAAAATCATATGTCCTAGAGAAACCCCTAAACATGTGGAAAAGATGATTCTTGGCAGCTTTGTGCACAAGGCAGAACTCTGGACACAAGCATGAGGCCATCGAGGTAGAAAGATGGTCAACTGTCATCATACAGTGAGTGAAATTCACAGCGCCAAAGAACACAGTCAAATTGCAGAAAGCAATGATAAGCAATCACCACCGAGCACAAAATAAGACACATAATATGATCCCATTTATATGAAGATCAGAAACTGGAAAATCAAGTCATGTATATCATTTAGGGATGCTGACGTAGGTTATAAGGAGCTATGAGATAAACACTGCACTACTAACTGCAAGGTCGGTGGTTCAAGGCCACCAGCCAGTGCAGGGGAGCAAGATAAGATAGTTGTAAAGAAAAGCAAGGGAATTATTAACACAAATCCAGCAAAGGTTCCTTCATGGGCTGGGAAAGAATGGGGTACAATCAGAAAGAGCTCATAGGGATCTTCGAAATTACACACACATTCTGTTTCTTACACTACCTATACATCCCATCATCTTATGAGCATGACATGCTTCACATTAAAAAACATGTTCAGTACTATAAACATTGACAAAGCCAAAGCCATCGGGTGATGATATTCTGTTAACTATTTCCTGCCCCCATCCCTCTCCCCACCCAAGCTTTATTGTACTCTAAAACAACATACAAGTTGAAAGTCTTGTTGGGTCTTTAAAACTGAGCAATTAATAATGTCTGAGTTTTAGTGAAAATGGCATCACATTTGAGTTTCTTGGTATCTAACCTTAAATGCATTCTTGCTTGTTCAAAATTGCTGAGCAAGAGCCAGCCATTCGTAATAATGAACTCATGCTAATATGTGTCATTTTTATAAGGAGTTACACTCATAGAGAAAGCTAGATAATGAATAAGAAAGAGCCAAAAAGAGTTGATGCATTTGAAATATGGTGTTGACAAGGAATATTGAACATACCATGAACTTCCAGAACACTGAACACAGCTATCTCAGAAGCGATAAAGCCAGACTGTTCCTTAGAAGCGAGGATCATGAGATTCTGTCTCCCTTACTTTGAACGTGTTATAAGGACAGACCAATCCCTGGAGAAGGGCAGCAAGCTTGCTAAGTAGAGGATCACCAAAAAAAGAGGAAGCCTTCCCCACCCCTCCAACCCCCAAACATGAGATGTACTGACACAGTGGCTGCAGCAATGAACTCAAACAGCAGTGACTCCCAGATGGCCCAGGGCCAGGCAGTGTTCTCTTCTGTAATGTGAATTGGAACTGATTTGACCATACCAAACAACAACAGAGGTGTACCAAACCACAACAACGCCCTCCAAGTCTCTGCCACAAGACCCTAAAGACCAAACCCATCCCTCCTCTCCAGCCCCAAACAGCCTCGGATTGCCCTTGTACTGGCCCCTCCTGGTTCTTACCAACCAACCCTCTCTGGCTGCCTCTCCCCTAACACAGAGATGTTGCTGTGTTGTTGTTGTGAGGTGTCATCAAGCCGGTTCAGACTCACAGCAAGTTTAAGGACAACACCACCTGTCGGTCAGTGAGATAAAGTTTTATTGTGCCAACCTGGCCAATAAACACATGTGAGATTAATTGACAGGCGGAGAGATAAATGGCTGGGTGAGCCTCGCCGTTCTAGTTCTTGGGTCTCTGGGTTTGTGATGGTCCGACCAGGGTGCAGCTGCCTTAGCCAGTTCCTGCTTCAGCTAGCAAGGCTCACTTCCTGCAAGACATCCCTGAGGAGAAGCCACATGGACCCAACCTGATGCAGCCCTGGGTGTTGAAGCAGCCACGTGGAGACCCCTGCCAGCGCTGAGATGCTTATACATTCACTGATTCAGCTTTCCTCCTGCAGTCGGCGTCATTGTGTGTGTTTAGTGAATTTGAGGAGAGCACATGGGCTAAGTCGGACTTATGGGCTTGGACTGGACTGGGTTGGGATGCTTTCTGAATGTACACTTATATAAAACTCTCTCTTATACATATATGAATTTCTGTGGATTTGCTTCCCTAGTTTACCCGGATTAACACAGTCAGTTTGTCAGACCGCGGTGGCTTATGTGTGATTGGGATGCTGAAAGTGATGTCACTGGTTTTTCAGATACCACCAGAGCTTCCAGATTAAGAACAGACTATGAGGCAGGAATGGGCTGCCCCTTCAGAGGAAGTAGCCCCTGTCAACCTTACAGAGAGCACCAGAACATTGTCAGACACAGAAAATGCAGCCATCCACTCCGAAACAATAGGGTCTACCATGCTGAGCTTTTCCGAGAGTTAGAGAATCCACAGGTTGGCATAGTTTGTAGATAAGAAGACATGGTATCGACTTAGGGGTTCTGAGAAAGTCATTAAACTTCTTTGTCTTAAATTTCTCATCTATAAAATGGAGTTAATGGTACACACTTCATATGCTTGATGTGAAACGTAGAGATCGTATATGTCATATGATGTTAAATATGTAGTGGATGACCAACAAAAGGGAAATATATATATTTATATATATAATATATATTATATATATATTTATAATATATAATATATATATTTCCCTACAGAGTTCTTTGTCATTACAAAGGGGAAAAATGTATTCAAGTGATCCAATTTAGCATTACCAATTGCAACGAAGTGAAATTACTTGGCATGGATCTTCTAGCCACAGTCTTTGTAACTCCCACCAAATGATGGGTGGGGACATGCAAACTTGGGGTCCGTTCTGCCAGCCCACGAGGTGTAAAGAGAGCCCCTTTCAGAAGCAAGAACAGAGACTCTCGTGATTACCAAGAAAGAGGAGCCAGAGTGAAGCTGATGTGAGATGGAAAGGCAGCAGAGCAGCGGCGCCCAGGCCGAGACAGAGCAGTGGACTCCCCAGGCCAAGCACCTTCAGCAGCACTGAAGGAAGTCTGCAGTGCTCGCCTGGGTAGGACAGAGATCAAGAGGCTGAGGACCAAAGAGCGATGCCTGTCAGCATGGCAGAAAAGAGGTGCGGTGGTCAAAATAACTGCATCCTTAACAGTTTATAGCCTAACTTCCCTAACAAGCCCCGCGTCGTTGTTGCTAGGTGCCATGGTCTGTCCCTACTCATAGCAGCCATATGTATACAACAGAGTGAAGTGTGGCCCGGCCCGGCGTCATCTTCACAATTGCTTTGATGTTTGACGCCATTGTTGCAGCCACTGTGTCCACCCATCTTGACAAGGGCCTGCCTGGACGGACCCACGAGCATCGTCTGTGGGTTCTGTGTGCGCTGCAACAGATTGTCTTCGCGAACTCAGCATCAGAATTGAAGACAGAGGATTGGAGGGTAGAACCATGTCTGAAATCATAGGAATCAGCCTTGGGCTGGGGAGGAGTTGGATCTTCCTGCCCCCTGTGTAGCTGGAGGAGGTTGGCCTTGCCCCACAACATGACACCCTGGTGGAGCAATGCTTAAGGCATTCAACTGCTGACCCCAATGTCTGCGGTTTGAACCCACCAGCCACTTCCCAGAAGGGGTGAAAAAAACCCTTCTCTAGAGAATTACAGTCTTCTACTCTGCCTTAGAGGCTGGCTGTCAATCAGAATTGACAGTGGTCAACCAGTGGTCTTGCGAAATCCGATCTTGTTCAAAGTCTACAGACTACTTCTTGGGATGGAAGTACAATCTTGGGACACTTGAGGAAAATAATAAGAATTTTGAATGGATAGTCAATGAGTCTTTAGCACTGTTCATTTGCTTGTATGGGAAAATGGTTCTGATTCTTAAGAAATGGTCCTTGGTCTTAAGAAATACATGCTGAGGTGCCTACGAGGGAGGGACATGTCAGCTGACCTACCAGATAGTTGGGGCAGCTGGGAGCATAGGGCGTAGCACTGTCGAGTCTTCATAGAGGACCTCTGGGTGTCTGCTGGACTGTGATTCCTGAAGTTTTCTGTATGTCTGAAAGAGCCAAAGTGGTGAAGAAATCAAAGGCCAGCGTTTACTGATCGGCTGGCTGCTCCTATAACAATGTTGGTGGTGGTGGTGTCTGTCACCCAGCGGGTCCTAACTCATAGCGACCCAAAGGACAACAAAACAAAACCCGTCTGATCCTGCACCATCCTCACAACATTGTTATGTTTGCAGCCACCGTGTCAATCCTTCTTCACCACCCTGCACCGTGACCCTGTCTCATCATGTCCCGTTCCAGGATCTCGCCCGACAATGTGTCCACAACACGTGAAAGGTCGTCTCTCCACCCTCGCCTCCAAGGAGCATTCGGGATGAATCTCTTCCAAGACAGATACGCCTGTTCTTTCTGCAGTCCCCGGGACTCCCAGCCCTCTTTGCCTGCACCATCATTCAAACACGAGAATAAGAAATAGCAACTCTTCCTGGGCAGCCTGGAGGTAAGGATATCAAAACATGTGTCTTAGTGGCACCTGGGTCACCACCAGACTGGAAACATCTGGAAGTCATTTGCAAAGACTTCAGGCTTCCCTGTGGTCTCTGCACTCACACATACCGTCGATCCTATCCCCTCCTCCTAGCACCTAGCCTCCCTACCCATTCTGTCTGTTTCCAACCGTCTCTCCTCCCCCTTCAGGCTCCCTGCCAGTGCCTAAGGCGTGTTGAAGAGACTGGGTGCTGACTGCCTCCACCGCCCGCAGGCTGGCAGCCTTTACACAGAGGAGGGTGCGGGCCACTCTACCATTAAAACACTTTTTGGAAAGGCGTTGGACCCCGGCTAACTGCCCAAGCCCATAAAGCAGCAAATTACCCCAACTCCATCTGCATAGCCAAGCCCCTTCAGAACCTGAGCATAAATAGGCCTGGGTGCCCGGAGGTGCTCATTGAGTGTCCACCCGGACTCTAGACCTTCACCCTGCTCTCTGCACCCCAATCCTTCACAAGCACCATGACCTGTGGATTCGGCGGCCGCGCCTTCAGCTGCGCCTCGGCCTGCGGGCCCCGGCCCGGCCGCTGCTGCATCACCGCCGCCCCCTACCGCGGCGTCTCCTGCTACCGCGGCCTCCCCGGGGGCTTCGGCAGCCGCAGCATCTGCGGGGGCTTCCGCTCCGGCTCCTGCGGACGCACCTTCGGCTACCGCGCCGGCGGCGTGTGCGGGCCCGTCCCGCCCTGCATCACCAGCGTGTCGGTCAACGAGAGCCTGCTGACGCCCCTCAACCTGGAGATCGACCCCAACGCGCAGTGCGTGAAGCACGAGGAGAAGGAGCAGATCAAGTGCCTCAACAGCAGGTTCGCGGCCTTCATCGACAAGGTGGGTGCCCCGCATCGCGCCCTGCCGCAGCCCCCACCCATGTTCAGTGCTGCCTGGCTACTGAAAGGGGCAGTCAGAGGCAGGAAACTGCCCACAGTTCTCCCTGTGATGGAGGAGACAACAAAGCCAGAAACTCCAATTCAGATGATGACGTTCTTACACACCACCTGTGCAAATACCTCACACACGGAGAAAATATAATACCGTCACGCCCCCACCCCATCCTACCCGATGAATGAGACAGGCATAGCGTCAAGGAAAGGCAAAAGGTGCCCGTCTAATGAGAGGGCCATCCCATACACCCAAGACCCCCAAACCAGGGTGCTCCGGCTCTGATTTCACTCTGAGAACGTCACGTGTGCTGGGCCCTTGGCTCTGCGAGGCTGTGACAGGAAAGCTCACCTGGATCCCAAAGGCACCGTCAAAGCACCAGCCCAGTGCCTCTGCCCCTGAGATGCCCAACGTAGACAGATAGAATGGGGTACTGGCTTCCCGAGGCACAGCCCCCTAGGCCACTGTCCCTGCTTGCCACCAGCTGAAAGGGACATTTTCTGGTCCAAGGAAGAGGGTCAACCTTTCATTGCACACCCAACTGCTCTTGGCCTCAAGGAACTGTGAAGGGTCTTGCTCCAGCGCGCTCAGGGCCCTGCGAGCCAGAGTGCCTGGATAAGGCAGAGCACACGAACAGAGGCCGGACTTTTTCCATACTCCCCTTTCAAGAGTTAGTATGGCCCTGGCTGCTGGGTGCCACAGTCAATCTGGGACTCACATCTGTATGATTCCCCTGTCAGCGATTCTCTGGAAATCTGGGTGTGGTTCAATCGCCTCCTGGAGACTGTCTGAATCCAAAATGAGATGTTGTTCAGTAACTTCTTGCACTCTCTTTGAATGAGAAAGCCAAGATGGTGTCTAGCCTCTAATTGGCTCCCTTCCACCCACACTCGAGGCCCTGGACTGTGAGTTGCCGGGGCTCCCTCCTCCTTCTGACCCCTGGTCCTATCCCACACGGCAGGTGCGCTTCCTGGAGCAACAGAACAAGCTGCTGGAGACCAAGTGGCAGTTCTACCAGAACCAGCGCTGCTGCGAGAGCAACCTGGAGCCCCTGTTCAACGGCTACATCGAGACGCTGAGGCGGGAGGCCGAGTGCGTGGAGGCCGACAGCGGGCGGCTGGCCTCAGAGCTCAACCACGTGCAGGACGTGCTGGAGGGCTACAAGAAGAAGTGAGTGCGGCCAGACAGAGGGTTTGCCTGAACATCTGTCCTTCACTCACGTTGCATTCAACTCATAGAGCCCCCACAGAGAGAGAGAGTTTCCCAGGCTTGCAAAATGTTTCCCCCTTTGCTGACGGCCAAGCTCGGTTTAGAACTAGACGTTTGAAGCCTGCTGGCTTTGTTTATTTCCCTGAGTAATGCCTCAAAAGCTTGGCATTTGGAGAATATTGGTTGAAATAGACAGCCCACTAGGGGCTTAAACCCATGTCTTGGATTCTCCAGACTGCCTCAAACTCAATTCTTTAGCTTCTCCACCTGTATGGGCTTCTCCTACCCGGGGAAGCCAAGGTTCCAAACGACAAACCGAGGCTACGGCAGCTGGATTGGGGGACATGAGCGAATGTGGGTTTTCATGAACGGAATCCTTACAAGCACAACTTAGAGAGACCTGACCGCATGCCCGGAATGGCACTAGTATTTACGGAGCAGGGCATCTGTGTGAGGCCTCCGGGAAGCATGGAAATAGCAGGCTGCTGCAAGCCACAGGTCAGTGGTGGGTTCCCCAGGCTGGGAAGCATGCCCATTGGACCTCCTTCCTAAGAAGAGAAGGAGCAAGGTGAGAGTCTCCTCTAGAGCATGACCCAATCTGCTCAGGAGAAGGCGTCTCACTCGGGCCCTACCCCTGCCTCCGGAGAGCATGCTCTCTAGACAAGAAGGAGACCGAATGCCTTTCTCTCCTCTTGCCCCATGTCAGGTACGAGGAGGAGGTGACTCTGAGGGCTACAGCTGAGAATGAATTTGTGGCTCTGAAGAAGGTGGGTGTCCATCTGTTGGTTCTGCAGACAGAGGCCAGGCTGGGCATTATGAGTATAGAAAGTCCCCAAGGAGACTCTGCCTCAGGGGCACCCAGGTGGATGGTGGGGGCACTAGCTCAGGAACCCAAGAGGCAGACCTGCACAGCCGATGACAAAAGAGGAGTAGTGAGAGCATGAGAGGAAGAGTCGGCGAGCAGAGCTGAACATGATTCCCAACAGGCTTTCCCAGGTGTGAGAAGGCAGGAAGAGAGTGAAGGGCCAATGCAGGGGGCAGTGGGGGGGAGAAGTGAGGCTCTGCCAAGGAGGGGTGAATACCTAATGTGAGGTTTGCACAGGAGCCAGAAAGGATTGACCTGGACCTCTGAACCAAAAACAAGGGTCAGAGAACTCCGGGGACCCCTGAAAAGCAAAGGGTATGCAAATTGAGATAAGGTGAGGGGCTGTTTAACGACAATGACTGCTGTACAGTCAATCAACTTTTAATAGAGTGGCCTCCTGGTGCCCTCAGAGAAGACAGAAAGGCCTTAGAGATGGGGAGAATTTAGGGAGGATTAATGTACTCCTTTTTCTGACTCCCAGACCTCAACAAAGGGGGTTTGGGCATGCCCAAGGGGTGGACTTGCTTATCAGAAAGTGCTGCCTTAAAAGTTCAGATGACCTGGAGAGGGACACAGAGCCCTCTGTGTCAGGACAGGGCACTTGGTCAGGACAGGGGACTTGGTCAGGACAGGGGACTCATGGTTACCAGGCTAGATTTTGTCAGAAGACAGGGGGATGAATAAAATGACCTTCCAACATTGCTGTGGGGCCTTGGGGGCTATCATGCCTTGTTCTTTCTTAGGAGGTGGACTGCGCTTACCTCCGCAAGTCAGACCTGGAGGCCAACTCTGAGGCCCTGACCCAGGAGATCGACTTCCTGCGGCAACTGTACGAGGAGGTAAGGACACAACGACAGAAACACTGGAAGCCAGGCTACAAGAGAGGGATGCTCACCTGGAGTCGAGGCATTGGACCTAGCTTTGGACAGAGAGCTTTAGGGCTCTAAGCTGCCTAATGGGGCAGGGGGTGGCGACCAGGGATGGCTGTAAAAGTTGGGTTCAGGCTGAGGGATGGGGAGGGCTATGATTTAAAGCTTCTGCCATATCCATCCCTCCACTCTAATCCCTGTAGGAGATCCGCGTCCTCCAC